TTTACTACTTCTGGTTCTAATCTTAGTTGTCTTCTCTATTTTGTTATTTTTTTATTACTATTTTGGTGTTGTTTGGCTTGAGTCATTGTTACTACAGGTCGGTGACCTTTGATGACTCTCACTTTTCATGAATAAACAATCTTAGTCTTAGTCTTAGTAGTCTTAGCTAATCGGTTAGGTGCTGATATTGCTGGACGCAGTTTTGTTTTGCTTTGTCGTATCCATACCGACTTTTTTTTTGATTGCTGTCAACAAATATTGAGATACTTATGTACTCACACAGAAATTTTTCTTGAAAGTATCATCGTCAAATTCTTGAACCTCGATATCAAAAAAGTCTTTGTTTCTCTGACGTTGCCAAACGGATTGTTCGGCTTTTGTGAAACAATTCACCAACGGAAGAAATAATAGCAGCATATGAGAGCTCGACACATGTTCTTTTCTGTTTTCGCTTTTTGCTGTAAATACTTTTCTTTGTTTAATAACGTTTAGTAAAGTAACAGCGTGCATCGTTCACGTGGCTGACGGAAAACTGAGCCAATTTTAGAGCACTTTCCGTATTTATTTGCTGTTCCTAACCATGATTAGCGCGGTCACATTGTTTATTTAACCGTGATTAGTGTTAATCATGATTAAAAAAGGATGTGTCACACTACAAAACCGTTAATCATGATTAATTTTAATCGTGATTAAGGCTGTAGTGTGACCCTAGTGTTACTCTACACGTTCTTTTGTTTATGAAATACGAGAAAAATACAAACTACTATTTCTCAAAAATTATCCGAACAAGTAGCAGTTCGTATTTTTGCTATATTTCTTAAACAAAAAGAACGCGTAGAGTATGCCAAAAATATCAAAATGAATAAATATGCACACTTTTCTCTTTAATATGAGACGTTGCAGAGCTCTGGGCGTGTGTCTTATTCGAGAATCATAGAAGAAACAGAATGCCAAAAAAACGTGACGGAATTACACTGCGGTAGCAGAGTTACGTGGCCAAGTCGTACTTTTACTTTGCTTTGCATCAAGTATTTCGTCGCAATACGCAATTTATTCAGTATAAATCGACGTTGTGTTGTTTTATAGTCAGTTTGAACATAATCCGACGTCAACCGTTCAGTAACTGGTCACTATCATATAGAACCGATGGGAATGTGCTGTCACTATTTAAAATAAAATGTTTAATATTAACTGCATTCAAAAATTCGTTTAACGCTTTTGGCTGCTCATGGATTAGTTCATATGTTCTAATTCTGAGCTCAATAAAATCGAATTGTTTGCCATGCAATAAACATCTTAAATGATTAAAAGGTGTAGCAAGTGCTTGAGCAAATTCTTCAATTTTAGCTACGAAAAAGAAAGAACATCTGTACAATAAACACGTCAGTAGATCCTTCTTTATTCTTATATAAGACACAAAATTTAATCATGGGATAAACACAAAAGAAGGCATATTTGCACTTTTGTGCAACCCGCCCCATTTATGAGGCATCGTCTTAGTTGCCGTCACAGGAAGCTAGTTGCCCGATAGGAACAGTGATGTTTGGCTGAACTACGTCTAGTCCGAAATATTTCCCGAATGGAACGGGTTCATCTGTCCGAACGTGGTAATATTTCCCAATCAGGACAGAAAACACGTTGAACTATACGCAGTATTTTGTTTTTCACATCAGACATACTAAACTATAACTTAAATGTCCACGATATATAGATAATAAACCTAGATTGTGTATAGTAAGTAGTGCAATAATATGAAAAAAATATTTTGTTCTTTCGTTATTCTCATCTGTTAAAATTTTCTTCAAGGTGATGCGTTATGCGTGCTCCATTCCAGTTTCCTTTTCTTCAACACGTAAAATCGAAGAAGACTTAAGTCTGTGACTTAAGTTTTGCCGTATCACAAAAAAACTTAAGTCAAAGGGTGACTTAAGTCATGGGAAGTGTAGTCTTAAAGTGAAGACCGAAAACCTAAGTCGGACTTGAGTCATTGACGCAGTTTTTGAATAGATTAGACATTTGACGATACGATTCGACGAAAACGACATTCTAAGGATTTGAGAATAAATATTTCGTTATTTTGCGGGTTTTTATCCGAAGTTTGTCACTGTTGTCAACGAGCTTTTAATCGAGCCGTTTCATAAATGAAAATATAGGCGCTTGTCGACAGGTTTTGTGCACTATGTTCTTTTTTATCTAATGATGATGCCTTTGGCGTTGAAACACGACAGTGAGAATAAAGAGTTTATAAAATAGATACTTTCACAATAGGAACAAAAATGATAAGTTCTGACCGATATATTTCTTTATACTGTTTTGTGGACAAAGCAGAAAAAAAAGAAAAATGAATAAATTATAACTGATTACTGTGTTCATAAATACACATATATGACTCATTACTTGTTGAATGCATAACCCGATTTTTCTTGAAACCCTTATTAAAATTATAGATGTTTTTGGGTGAAAGTAAAAGTCTGTTTTGTTTATGCTTTGGAAATTTACATAAAAAAAAGCAAATCATAGTAAAGCTTTTTTTTAAGTTATTTGCCCAATAACGGAGTCTCGAAGTAATCGTTGCTACTATAATAAAAGAAATTCATTTCTCGTTTTGTTTGAGAAGGTGATTTGAAAAGAAGAGAAAACCTAAAAAATACTTTGTTGTTTTATTATTCTCACCTGTTGGAATTTTGTTTAAGATGATGCGTTATGCGTGCTCCATTGCAGTTTTCTTTTCTTCAACACGCAAAATGGAAGAACAAATCTTAAACCGTGAGTGAATAAAAACAAGTATTTTTATTTTTTGCCCATTACATAGCTGGGCGAATTTCTATTATACGGAAAGTATCAGCTTGTGTAGTCTCTAAGTGACATATAGAATAGAAGAATGTCTTATGCTGAGTTATGTAATACATAACTCAACTTACTAAAGAGTTCAATATCGCATTATGCGATATTGAACTCTTTAGTAAGTGATGAAGTAGTAGGATAGTAAGCATATGATACTAGAACAGTAGACCATTATTCAGACTTTTAAAAATTCCGAAAAAGAAAGAGAAAAACGAGAGTAGATCCGGCATGGGTTCGAACCTGATGCGTACAGTTCGTCATGTTATAACCCTTCACTAAACCATTGATCTACGCTGGATGGTCTTTTGACGTTAATAATAAGTACATAAATAAGGAAAAGGAGATGGTCTGGGTAAGGGTGATGGCGGTGGTTACGATCGAAGTGAATATTATTCTACTGTGCTAGTATTGTACTAATAGACGCTGCTGCTTAACTACTATTATATTAACGAATATAATACAACAACATTGAACAAATACATACTAATATAGTAGTTCACCTCTATCAGAAGAGTCGGAATAGTAAGAGCGGTGAACATTGCTAAACTTTGGAAATTCGACCACCCGATTACTTTTCGATTACTAACATGATTAAAAGTGACGATATTTTGGATAACTATAGTTAACATAACACTCTAAGGAATTAGATCTTTTTAAAGTAGTGTCACGTGATACATTCACTCAAACGAATAGTTTAGAATACAATAACCTACTTCATTCAACACCGAGATATTATTCTGAAATTTTCATTTTAGTAATTCACTACTGATAACATGGACTCTTCTGCTTCACAATCCAGCAGTAAATGTCAATCAATTCAACCATGTAAAATGTCAGGAATTCTCTCATGTAAAGGTTGTCAGCGGAACTTCTGTCAAGGTCACATGAGTGAACATCGACAAGAATTAGAAGATGACTTTCAAGGTGTATTAAGTGATCGGGATTCACTCTATCAACAAATATATTCCGAAACTTCTTCCACTGATCCCCAAGCATTTGATTATATCACAAAATGGGAAAGAAAAACTATCGAGAAGATAAACATGATTGCTGATCAAGCTCGACGACAAGTGCAAGATCTGCTCGATGAGAAGAGACTTAAAGTAAAAGAGAAATATGATCAATTGTCAGCTGAACTTCGCCAAAGAAAAGAATCTAGTCACTTTTTCGAACAGGACATTGAAAGATTAAGTAAAACACTTGAGCAAGTCAAACATGATTACGAACATAAGGACAAAACGGCTATAGTAACGGTAGAAGCTCAAACCATCGATTTTGATAATATTTTACGCATAACGCCGAACGCGAAAACCAATGTCCATCAAAATCAGTTGTTTGTAGGTGGAACACTATTAGCTGACAAACAACACCAATCCAAACTGAATGAATTTTACGGAAAACCACATCAACAATGGGAGTTGATTTACAAAGCTACAAGAGACGGCTTTCTTGCCAGCAATTTTCATCGTCAATGTGATGGCAAGGCCAAAACGATGGTAGTCATCCAATCCAAAAACGGCGGTTATCTGTTTAGTGGCTACACAGCTGCCCCCTGGAGTTCAGATCAAAGCTTTCAAACAGACCAAACAGCATTTATTTTCACTCTGACCAACCCAAACGATCTTCCAATAACAAAGTTTAACATCAGACCAGCAGAAAGCAAATACGCTGTATATCATGCTCCACAGTACGGACCCATATTTGGTGCTTATCCTGTGACTAATTCACTTACAACGTCATCCTTTTACTCACATGTTCCCATCTCTACACTCACCTAATAGTCTTCCTTCTGCTTATTTTAACAACAAAATGATCTCACTTTCCTTGCCCATAATAAAACAACTTTCATCTGATTATGCTTATGGGACCAATTCACTTACAACGTCATTCTTTTAGAACTTAACTGGTTTTCCACAGATCCCCTGAAAAACCGATCTTTGAAATTTTGTTAAAATTCGCTTTTGCTTATGAAAACATAGCTTCAGGCCTTGACTAGATTGATGAAAGTCGCCGCTTATGCGAAATGATTCTTAAAGGTTTTGTTTATTCTTCTGGGGCCTTCGAACAGCTGATTTTAAGACATAATGACCTGAAATTATTTATTGCTTGTCGTGCGCTGGGGCAAAAAAGCATAGTCAGGACACTATATGTCTTAATGGTCACTTTCATTCTCACTGCGCAAAACATATCGTGAATCTGACTCGTCTGAGCTTATATCATAGTGTGAGTATTTCTGACTGTCGTGAACACAATTAATCGACTTGTTGATGTTTTAAGTTTGGTTTAGTAATATGACGGTTGTAGCCGAGATTCCAAAGGAGAGTAACCACACGACTGCAACAACCAACCAATTTTGGTATTATTATACATGTACAACACCATCCTTCCTGGCAGTCCAATCTCATAGCCCGAACGGGATATGTATCCCGATGAGGATATATATCCCGTTCGGGTTATAATATATATCCTCTTTGGGATATAGCCCGATCAGGATATATTTTTATATTCCGAATGGGATATAGTATACTGAAGGCATATCAAGACACGGTCAGTCCGGTCTCATAGCTCGAACGGGATGTATATCCTGATGAGGATATATACCCCGTTCAGGATATAAAAATATACCCCGATCAGACTGTTTTGTATATCACCACTAGAATTTAAAAAATCGTGAACGGTAGACTCTTAAATCAAGACTGGAGTATCATTGATTCCTACTCAGTTTTTCATCCACTTTCTTATGCTATATTCACTTTTCTACAATAACGTCACGATTTTTGCGGTAATGATTTTTTCCAAAATGCTTTGCAAAAATATCCCCATCAGGATATAAATTTTCTGTGATATCCTGTGATAGGTTACGACTTTTTGACAATCTGTAACCTATTGTTTTTTATCTAAACACCGTCTGTAAGGTAAACATATACAAAACAAATCACATTTTACATGAATATAGAAATGAATCGGTTGAGTCTTTTATTCTTTAATGCAATCTTTGAAAAATAGCTTTGTGAATAGGGAGACCCTCTTAAGAGTAGACCAGAATTCCACTTTAGGCTTTCGATGCTACGAAGGTTCTGTTATTGTTCTGTATTTGCTATTTATTTTTAGCAAACGGAAGTTTTTTCTCTGTACTCCCTTTCTTGATTGTGCTATTTTTCAGTTTAAAAATAGTTTAGTTTAAACTAGAGAACCTCAGTCTGAACTTCATCCTCAATCGATAAAATTCCACTCAGACTACGCTTTATTACTCAAAGTGTCGGCTGTTTTAATGTGGTCGTTTAAAATCTGTTTTTTTTCGTTTAGATTAAAAACAGATTATCAGTGGCGTAACCTACAATCTAACCTATAAAAAATTTCATAACCTAAACCTAACTTAACCTATAGGTTAGGTTTAATCTGCAGGACTCTAGCTGCCAGCACCCTAAATCTACCACTGTTATGCTACAACTTAGGTAGTGTCAGATTTTTGAATTTTACTTCTTTTGTGTTTTGTCAGACGTTTTATCTGAAAAACATGAAAATCCGTTGGCTAGATTTTACAAACCTAGTGTTCTAAACACTTAGTAGCTAGTTTAGGTTTTCTCGTTCATGCTGTAACAAATAATTTTTGCGATTAATGATAATTTCCATCTTCTTGTTGTTGTTCTAAAACTAATCGCTTCTCACATCTTATTTCTGTATTAATTAATATCCTTTTTTACATGCTTGCATGGACATTTAGCCGTATGAGATTCGGTATAAACATACCGCGATAGTTATAATAATGGACATAATAAGAGTGAGAACTTGCCTATTACTACTGAGGAAAAACCACTTCAACAACAATCGGCCGAATCAGCTAGGGAATTATGACCAAAACTATTAGAATTACTAAGAGGACGAAGAAACAAGCAATTAATAAAATATCAACAACTCATTACTAATCAAATGGATAGAACACGTGAATTTGTAATTAATAGTGCAAAACTTTTTGTCAATTTTTTAATGAGTTTAGTTTCCATCATTCATTCTTTGTACACTCTTAACTTATGTATGACCATCGCGACAGAAAATATTCATAAGCATAGACATGAGAGTTTGTATATATAAAGATAGCAGTTTAAAACGCTATTTGCTGATTTACTCATTCAAAAATCTAAGTAATTTGAATATAATGAATTGCTGGTTGTAAACTTATTTTTGAGAGTATCTTAAAACATTGTAGCAGTATAACGACATAAATTATATGATATATATATATGTTATGTTCAGTTAAATGATTCATTCGTTCCTTGTATGATAATGATCTCAGTTCTTTACTCGTTTTCATACAATAAACGCAGTAATCAATGGTATCTACACCATGGCAGACGTTGTTAAGTAAGTACTACATGTTCATGAGAGAATGTATCAGGGTTCCTCTTCCACTTCCTCTTCATTGCAACGACAACTCGAGATTGTGACGAATTCCGCTTGGTTTTTATTTATTTATAAATCCAAGAACAGCATTTATTACATATATATTTTTTCTGTTGTTCTAAATGTTTCCTTTTCGCAGTAAGTCATGTAACCACCTGTATTCACTTCTAGAAATATTTCTATTAGTATGTTTTAAACGTTGGGGATATAGAATACAATCACTGTTTCTACATGATATAGTCTTGATATAATAAAATAATACTACTGAGGTTAAAACAGCGTAAAAATGGAAACAAACAAACCTCGAGTAAAATTGTACATGTTCTTTCTTCCGTTATCAACACACTTCAATATTACGTGCGTCATATGTTAAAATCATGCTAAAAACTCACACAATAGAGTTCTCTGTAATTTTTTTCCTTATTTTATATTCGTATGACATATCATTCGATTCAACGTTATCTGCGGATAAAAAATATAATCTTACTTTATAAAAAAAGAGATAGTGAGAATGAGAAAATTCTATTTCAAACCCACCATTATACATCTGGATAATTTTTTCATTGTTAAATTTTTTTCTTACTGATCCACTCAAAGCTTGAATTTTGTTGATAGATAGAGTTAAGTGCTTGGTTAAGTGTCACGCAATTTCTGACCAAGCTTCAGAACGGTACTCCTTGAGCATCTACACAAGTTTTAATGGAGCGTATACAAAACAAAAATTGAAATTCTTGCACTTTTTTTCACAAACAATAAATATGATCTTGTAATTCTTCTACTACGAGGTTATGGAGCTCCTTTACTCTACAAAATTCAATATAAATAATTAAAACACTAAGCTTCAGTAGTGAGACAAAATGATTTTATCATCAACTGTCAATATAAGAGCAAGATTTTGAAAATAATTCTTCACTATATCATTAAACTAAAAGTTGAGTACGGTTAGATGCACAATAAAATTCTCTATCAAACCTGCTATTCAACTTTTTGATACTTTCACAGTTTTAAATCCGGTAGGGGGTTGACTGAAAAAGAAGTAATAGTCAAACAGTTTTAAATTAAAACTGTTAAATATATTAAAACTTACAAAATATAAAATATTAAAACTTTTAATATTTAAGTTGTCTCAAACATTCATATTAAGATATTAATATGTATTTCACTAGCAATAAACTTTTCTTTTAATAAATATCAAAAAACTAATCACAAAAAAAAACTGAAAATATGTCTAAATTACACTTTATAGAATAATATGTTAACAAAATAACAATCAAAATCATTCCGCTTCTATGAGTCTTGATGGATCTTGATTACAGAAATAAAATTATAAAACGAATAGTTAATATGTACAAAATTAAATAAAAAAACAACAACAACATTAAAACATAAATATTTCACTATCTCGTAGTACGCCATTGGTCAATAAATGAATTAAAAGAATTCACAAGATTTCGGCCTATTTGTGGTCTATAAATATTCGATGATGATGCTGATTGTGGTAATGGTCGACGAAACGGAATAACTGTTCTGTAACATTCATGGAATAAATTATAAACAGCGAGTAATTTTTCTTCACGAATTGTTCGATGATGAGTAGGTGATGATGTTACTGTGGCTGAACGACTATGTTGAACACGTTTTGGTCTGAGAAAAAAGAAAAGAACAGAAAAAGGTCGTTAATAACTATAGTCTTGTCTACTATTCAGTGAACAATAGAAAAAAGATGATTACTTTGAGTATTTAGTAATGATCATGATGAACTTATTTTTTATAACACAATTTAATCATTTCGTTTATCTTTCAATACTTACTCGGTTGATAAATATTTTCCTTGTGTACTATCTTGACTATTCGTAGTCACATTAAAAATTGGTTGTTCTCCATGATGGTGTTGATTGTCATTGTTCGTACTTCCATTGGTAATTATAGATATATTTCCAGATGAACGATGTTTTGGGGCATATTTAACAATAAATAAATTGTCATCAGAACCTGTACGTCGAAGTCGAGAATTAGTAGATGTCGTCATTGATGAAGAATCATCGATCAAACTCAGTAATGGTTGAGGCTGTTGTTTTTGATTTCTTAAACGACGACCGGCTTCATTAAATTCGGTCATTGAACTAGAACAATAAACAAAATAACTTCAATTTCTGCTATTTATTTCGGATATTTCTCTCTAATGTATGACTGTAGAAGAGTGATTCAAAATCAACATATACTAGTTTCAGTATATCTATACAATTAGAAACATGCAAGATAAAAATGGGCAAGTATTTCAATATTTTAAATTTTATAAATTAGTTTAATGGCTAGTTAAAAAACTTTCATCCATCGATACAGTTTCATTCGCGTCACAAAACTGTGACAAATATCTTCTTTTTTTTGTTCATTATCAGAATAGGCTTTAAAGTCTATTCTGATAATGAACAAGAGGTAAGAAATCTGAACAATATGACACGCTTGTTGCTGGATAATAGAAGATAAAATTGAACGAAATAAATTGAAAGAGACACACCTGATTGAGAAAATATTATTTTCTTTTGGAATGTATGATGATAAATCTTGCCGTTCGGGCAACTGGAGTGTTTGACTAAATTAAACATAGAACTAATAAAATAAAAAAGAAAATGTCGTCTTAATAATTTACTCTGTTAATTGTTTATTGCGATAAGCATATTCTAGTGAGGTTATGTGAGGTAACATCATAAAACAATAATACATTATCTAAATAAAGAGAGTTTAATAGTACAGAGGAAGCAACATACTCATCAATTGTACGTTAAAAAAAGAATGCGTTCCATCATTTTTTTGTGAATAACTTTTGACAGAAATTAGCTAAAAAGCTCTACTTTTTGCCATTTCGACAGGAGACTTGGGGAACATTTACATAAGCAGAAAGAATTAGAACGAGTTAAACTCTTCAGGATATACACTGTTTAGACTCTTTTATATTTGAATTTTTTAGTATTAGCCTAGAAATCCTAATTTTCGTAAAATTTGATTTTCACTAGATTTTAAAATCTTTTTTCTAAAAACAAAAATTGCCACGAGTGCTAACATGATCGATTACCCGTTTCCAAGGTTTCACATAGTCACCAGTCCTGAGATTCCAAGAAATATACTCAACCACTAATACTCACTCACTAATATATTCAAACCACTGGAAAACTAGAACTCGCTTGACTCTCATTTCGAAAAGAACGTTGGGGACTATCAACTCATGAAAAAACTCAATATAACTATATTGGAAATCATTATATCGGATGTCCCAAGTGAAATGGCCCGTTTTTGTTTTTGCGATAACTCCATCATTTTTTGTGCAATCTGCTCAAACTGTTTTTTAAACAATGCGCCATTTAATTTTCTACAGAAACATGTGTCACCAATTTTCTTGGAGTAGAAATTCTTAGAGTTATAAAAGAAGAAGCGAGGACGTGCAAAAGTTTCAACTTTCTAAGGCAAAAAATGATTTTTTTTCAAAAATCTTCCTCAGAGTCCAAAATCCGAGACGACCGTTCGAAAGACCGCAAAAAGTTCTATCAGATAGTCACTTCCAAAAATTTTCCAAAGCCCGCATCGGCGAGAAGAGATTTTTCTGTTTTCTCAGAAAAACACCATTTTGCAATCATCTTTTTATCTCTT